TGAAGCGTCGACCATTTCTGGCCGGCAACTTTCAGCGTCATTGGGAGGTAATTAGCAAGATTGTTTTATCTGAAGTTGGCATCCTGAGGTTAGCATTGTAGATATCCTGGACATTCTGATGTGTTTTTTTTTTTTAATGTCTACTTTTTCTGTTAGGGAGGTATCTTAAATAACACAGTCATAATATTTTCAGATACATCCAATAATTGACAGCGATTGGATATGTAAGAGACACTAATTTTTATCAACCATTTACTCAAAAATCTTTAGAAGAAAATGCAGTGGCCACTAATTTATTCATAAAAGTTATTGATTGAGCAGTAAACAGTGCCCCATTTGGAGATTATTCAGGGTAGAGAAAGCCAAGAGTGATTGCAAGGAGTTCCAGAAGGATCTCTTTCAACTGGATGGTCAACCCAAATATGGTTCTAATTTCATCAGAGCTAAGCGATGCATATTATGGCAAAAAAACACACTTGACATATATGCTGATAAAGTGTGAGCTTTGTCTAAACAGGAGGAAAATCTTGGGGCTGTAGTGTAGAGTTCAGTGCAGAGCCCAACTGTGTGGTAGCTCTGAAAAGGCAAATGCCATGTTAGGAATCATTAGGAAAGTTACTGAAGATAAAACAGCCCCCATTATTGTCCCTTTCTACTTAGCACTAAACCACACTAAGATAGAAAGCAAGCTTTCTATGGTTTTAATTTCTTTTTAATTTTGATGTTTTCTCAGCAGTCTTTCTGCTGCTGGGTTGTTTCTGGTTCCAAGTACTGAAGTTTGCTCTTTTTTTCTTTCTCTTGTATCTTCAAATGCAGATGAATCTCTCCAAATGGGTGCCTTTTCTCTGTTTCTTGATAAATCTCCATTTTTCATTCATTCTGTTCTGTTCTTTTATGATCTCAAGATGCTTGATTATGTGCTGTCAAGTCGGTGTCAATTCTTAGAAACCACATAGATGTTTACTTTCCCTTATATTCCCAGACAGCCACCCAATTCTCTATTTCATATTATGGAGATCACATTCCTGCATTAGAATGGTTTTTAATGAATGTTTGGCTACTCGGCTTCTGGTACCTCTCACTTTTTGGTCCTTTTCAAGGGATTCCTCTTCACTTCCTGACATCAGCTCATCCAACACTTATTTTCTTCACCATTCTATATTTTCTAAGGTAAAATTTTCTAGAATGTGTTGTTTTTGAGTACTTACTTAACTTCAATATTTCTGGGCTTTTTTTTCCGCCTTTCAGGATCCCACTGTTTCATGTCATGTCTCACTGCCACCATATTTCACCACCAGAGATCAGTGGCCATTTCCTAATAAAACTGCTTCTTAAAACCTTTAATATAGTAGCTGGATAACATCAGGCTTATCTGTGCTGAATCTTCACAGAGTTATGTTGAATTGCATATTTTACTTTATGTCAGACAAGTTCTATCTTCCTTTCCTCAGTTCAGAGGAGAATTTATGACTTAAAAAGGAGTTCCTTCTCAATTCTCTTGAATCCTCTTCAGATTCAGGTTTTTTTGCACATACGTATGTCTGCTTACAGCTGGATTGTCACACTATACCAACCCACATGCTAGCAAATCACATTCTGATTTAACCTTGTGTGAACCCAGCAGCCTTCTGGCAGACTCTAAGGTTGACTTTCCATAATATTGCTAAGCCTGATCTTGTTAAACCATGATTTTTTTTTATATGTTGTATGAACCTGGCTGCTCCTAGTATATAAAACATGATTATGTGAATCATAGCTTGGTTTACTGTGTGAATTCAGTCATATTTCCCACTGCCACCCTCTCTTACATTTCACTCAAGATTTCTTGCACTCTAGCTATTGTAGAATTATTACATGAAACAGTACTCTCCAAACAAGTAACGTTAAAACTGTAGCTTTAAAATGCCACATTCAGAAAGAAAAAGACATCCACATCCACATACATATGTGGATAAACACAGATGAAAATCATGTCCATATTAGGCAGGAAAATATTGTGTCACAGCTTGCAAAACTACAATTAAACAATAAAAATATGTTTTCTCTCTTCCTATCCATAAAAGGATGGTTGGGTATGTAGCAGTGTGGAAGTTGGAAAGATGGGTTTGAATGGGGCCTATATCTAAAGCAGCTATATATTAAGATGAAATGAAGATACCATCATTTTGTTGATCACATGTTGGATAAAAATAAGATCACTGTTAAATCAGGAAGTAATACAATGGTTTGCTGTCGCTTTCTTAATAGAGGCTTTTTACTTCCAAAATAGTCTACAATTCTGGGAGTTCCTGATGGTTTCCCATCCAATTGCTAACTAGGCTTACACCTTCTTAGCTTAAGGCCAAAAAACAAAAGAGGGAGGGAGGAATGCCATCTGCTAGTAGAAAAGGGTTTGTGCAGTCGTTGGTACTCTGAGCTGCTTGTTTGCTTCCAGAGATTTCATTACCTGGCTAGGTAACATCATCAATGAATAGAATAGAATAGAATAGAATAGAATAGAATAGAATAGAATAGAATAGAATAGA